TAGGAACGCCTGGAACTCTCTCAATCACAGCACTGCCTTTTAGTTTCTCGGCCTGAAATCGACAAGGAAACGCGTCCACAGGAAATGACGAATACGGGTAAGCGTACGGGAAAAAGTATGAAAACAATTCGTGTTTCTATGACACACTTCAAGAAAGCCTTCAAAACAAAGGCGATTTAAAAACTGGACGATCGTAAATGACCCAAATGAAGCTGCCAAGTGTCCACCTGTTTTCGTCATTTCTAGAAGTGAACGGAAGTGATGTGTAGTGTGGATGAGTAAGCCTCTGTAGTCTGGGTGAGTAAGCCTTCGAACAACAACAACAATAACCACCTACTCAACGTTAAAAATACATCCGGTGCCACATATGAGTTTTTTTTTTCTTTTTTTTTTTAAATTTTTTTTCGCTTCTGTTAAAAATCACATACCAATTTAGTACAATCAAACTCAAACGCCTCCAGATACCGCCCAAATCCCTGTGCCAAGAAATAGTGCAGGCCGCGAACTTCCATACTAATTCCGTTTAGCGTCACTTCCTCGTCTAGCTGTGATGGTAACCCGCATGCCACTCATTTCAAAGGAGCGTTTTCCACTGTGTTTCGCGTCCATGAACCATTAGTTTTAGCCTGTGAAACAGAGGCGTAGCGTAGCTTATTTCCTTTCGCCTACTTATCAGTTCTAGTTCACTGGCACCCAGTATTCGTCCCTTCATTAATCTTCGTATTTTCTTCTGCGACACTGGTGTTTCATGTTTCGCATCCACAGAGTAGCACTGAGGGTTATTGGAAAGTTCTGCCTTTATGCGACATGGTATTGGCTAGCCTGAACGACTTCATGAAGTACGATGAATGCAGTTAGCTTTTCTCTTCCCTTTCGGCTCATTTTAGCACGCAAGGCGCCATTTATTTTTAGCGCCATATGTGTCTGTGTTTTCAACTTTTTGGCCGACTTCATCGCGAATTGAGGACTGTATTCGTTCTTCATCCACATGGCTTTCCAGCTATGCATTCTGGGACCGACAGTGCCAGCACTAACGTTTAGTGGCGTAAAATTGATGTTCTACAGTACGGGACATGAAACAACAAACAATTCCACGGAAAACTAATATTTAGACCAATATTTTTCCCAAAGA